TATTCTTTGGCTAAAGCGGTATCTGATGCTTTTCACCAGCTCTAAACTCATTATAAAATAATAACACTAAATATGCCCCAAAGCAAAAAGACAGTCCTTGCCCTGTGCCAAAGATCTGGGACATTTTAGAGTGAATGAATAAAGATTGTTGTTCAAACTCTTTGGCAGTTTACTAAAGTGATTCTTGTTGTATTACTGCAACCATGAGACTTTGCTGCTGTCTCATAAGATAGGAAAAGCTTCTTGATGGAATGAGTACTATTTATCTTTTACATACATGCAACCAGAGGTTTTCCTGGTGTGCTTAGTCAAACTTAGTTCAAGAAAGTGTGAAAACCCAGAAGTAGAAATATTTGTGTCACTTTTCTGATGGCAAAATCCTTAATTGAGTTGTGCTGCATTTGCAAGCTTACATACCCTGGGATTCACATTCAGTTTCTATTTTCAGCAACCAGTAAATAAAAGTAAGAGAAATAGTAACACGTAAGTCATTCAGTTCTACTGTAGGCTGCCCCTCCTTTTTTTTATGTTTCTTTTAAGAAAAGCACATCATCCTTGTTCGTGTCCCCTGGCAACATGGTGAACTAATGTGGCCAGGAGCATGTGGAATGTGAAAGCTAGAGTATGCTGTACTGTTCTAACGGGGACATTTATTTCTGGCTACACTTGACAATTCATGAATTACTTGAGAAAATACTGCATTGTAACCTCGTTATCTCCAGGTGCTTTTGACCTAGTGAGGTAATCCTGTTCACTTTGAGACTGGAAGAACCTTGCTTTCTCCTTATGCTTATCTCAGTCTAAATGGTATTCATACCTGTCAGGGTTTCTTCCCCACTCTGAACTCTAGGGTACAGATGTGGGGACCCACATGAAAGACCCCCCTAAGCTTATTCTTACCAGCTTAGGTTAAAAACTTCCCCAAGGTACAAACTTTGCCTTGTCCTTGAACAGTATGCTGCCACCACCAAGCATTTTAAACAAAGAACAAGGAAAGAGACCACTTGGAGACGTCTTCCCCCAAAATATTCCCCCCCAAGCCCTACACACCCCCTTTCCTGGGGAGGCTTGAGAATCGTATGCTAACCAATTGCTTACAAAATCATCAAAGATCCAAACCCCTGGATCTTGTAACAATAGAAAAATCAGTCAGGTTCTTAAAAGAAGGATTTTATTTAAAAAAGAAAGGTAAAAATCATCTCTGTAAAATCAGGATGGAAAATACTTTACAGGGTATTCAGATTCAAAACAGAGGATCCCCCTCTGGGCAAAACCTTAAAGTTACAGAAAGCAGGAATAAACCTCCCTCTTAACACAGGGAAAATTCATATAAAACAAAAGATAAACTAATCCGCCTTGCCTGGCTTACCTATACTGGTTGCAATATTGGAGACTTGGATTAGGATGGGTTGGAAAAGATGGATTTCTGTCTGGCCTCTCTCAGTCCCAAGAGAGAACAACATGTAAACAAAGAGCACAAAACAAAAGCCTTCCTTCCTCCAAGGTTTGAAAGTATCTTGTCCCCTTATTGGTCATTTGGGTCAGGTGCCAGCCAGGTTAGCTGAGCTTCTTAACCCTTCACAGGTAACAGGATGTTGCCTCTGGCCAGGAGGGATTTTATAGCACTGTATACAAAAAGGTGGTTACCCTTCCCTTTATACTTATGACCATACCTAATGAAGGCTAAGAGGCAAATATATTGTCTGAAAATCCCTCTCTATAATTTCATTTTACAATCAGTATGTTGTTTAAGAATTCTCAGTCTGATGTCTCTTGAATGACAGAGTGGAGATGTGGCTTGTCTTTTTTTCCTCAAGACTTTACTAAATCCTTCCTTTTAAAAGCATCTTCTAGCTGCCCTCTGACTAGATTGCTGTCACAGGGGAACACAGAGTCCTTGCTATCACTGCATCTTTCTTCAAAGTTCATCTTCTGGAAATGAGAGACAGAATGTACACTTTGCAACTTCTCTCTTTTGCAAATGGAAAAGAAGTCCCTCTTCCCCATCTGAGTCATAAGACTCATGATGGAAGATATATGGTATCTGAGAGCGCACCTCTCTCTCGTGTGTGTGTGTGTGTGTGTGTGAACTGTGACTGGATCCCCAGGGTGCAGCCTGGGACTGTGGGACTGCTGTGCCCCCTTAACTCTTTCCGGCCTGGGCTGTCTTTCACAATGCCTTGCTAGTGACCAGCAGCAACCCCGTCCAGGTGCTGTTTTGACTCAGCACAACGTGGAGCCCCACAGCCAGCAAGATTGCATGAATGCTTCCAGAGCCACTCATGAATCACACAGGGAAAGGCACCAGTGAAATCCCCCCAGCTCCCAGCACTGTACCTCAGCGATATTCCAAGATGGGCAGTGCAAATTTATTATTTGGTTCAGCACTTCATCACTGGAAAGTGGATATACACCAACCTTTGCAAACCTGAACAGCTTTGCCACACGCTTCATACAAACTCACTGGTAAAGATAAAAGTAAAACAAATTTATTGACTACAAAAGATAGATATTAAGTGATAAGCAAAAAGTCAGTTAGTTACCAAAATAAAATAAATTATAAGCACACAGTCTAAGCTCTCAACCCTATTAGACTGGGTAACATCTAGATTAGATTTTTCTTACCCCACTGGATATTGCAGTTCATAGTACACAGGTTTCACCCTTGAAATCTGGGCCAGTCCCCTCTGTTGGAGTCTTCAGAGTATCCTTGTTGCTTGCAGCATAGGTGGGTGCAGGCAAAAGGCCAAGCATGGGCCCCATGTGTTCTGTTTTATACCCTCAGTCCCATGTGCTTGGGGAACACAAGTCCAGACATGTCTGGGGGGCATTGCTGGGTCTCCAGGCAAGGTTGAGCAATTCCCTGATGTGGCCTCATGCAGGTGACTCATTGAATTATAGCTCCATTGCTGGACAATGGCTATTGATGGGTTGTTTGATACCCTGCTTAGGAATTGGTTACTTTCCTTGCTGTTGCCTCTGGGGAGCTAATATCTGTCTGATTCCCCAGCTTACAGTATGTTTCAGTGACAGCCATACAGCACAGTTTTCATAACTTTATATATTTGAATAGAAAAATGACTTTCAGCCGATCATAACCTTTCCACTTATACCTCACACGGCCTGCTTTATATGCAATATTACAATTATATACAGATGAAGAATGTGGGGTTTACAAGATGCTCCTCCAAGGTATAGGATGCCACACGAACATTTTATAGTTAATCTGTTTTGTCTGTTTTCCTTGCTCTAGAGTGAAAGGACATGTTTGTCTTTGTTTTGAGACATGCAGCATTTCCTACTAAAGGGAGATGTAGGAAAAGACAACTTATTTGTATCATAAATATACCTTATTAGAACAGGAAAGCCTTTAGTTTGGACTTTCCCCTACCTTTGTACATTTAAAAAAAATAAAAAACTACTATAAACTTTGGAGGTTTCTTGTTTGTGGATGTGAGACACACTCCAGGTTGATGATGGAGGAGCGGTTCAGGCACCAGTAGCTTTGACCAGCTAGGTACCTCTGTGTTCTTATGTGGGTGGAGTCCACACACGAGTTCTCCAGACTAGAGGCTTTCATATTATGAGAAAACATATTTATAATAAAATGAATTTATCTATGCCTCCAGTGCCCTTCAATAGAAAATGTTGTGTGTCTCAAATTCAAAAAGACAAACATACCCTTTCACTCTATAGGACTTTTAAATTAAGGAAAACAGACAAAGGAAGACTAAATACAAAATCTTCATATTGTGGAGGAGAAAAAGCAGAGTGTGTGTGTGAGAGAGAGAGCGAGATTCAGTAAGATGCCCACCCCCATCTATCAGGCAAACGTCTTGTATTAAAAGGGGAAATACACAAAAAATGGAATCATACCTCACAGGAAATATTGCCATTTTCACTTCATCCATAGAATACAGGTCCATGCTGAAATGTTCTCAGTTAGCTGTAACCTCAATCTTGTGACTAGGCAAAAGCATTTTTAGAGGGATGTGGATGATTGACTATGAATTTCCTGTTTTTTGTTGGCATTTAATGTTGATCAAATATTCCTTAAATCTGGCATCTCAGTACCTTACAGAACAGCAGAGTAACATAATATCCAGAATATACCTATTGAAGTTGAAAGGATCCTCTGCTGCATGCTCTGAGCTTGTCTAGGCACCTATGGCTGTTACATGTCTCAATCTAAATATCAGTAAGTACAGAGCGGTCTGATTTCTAAGGCTCTGACCCACTATGATAAAATTATGACTGTGCCAGTAACAGGACCAGTATCCCTAGCTCACTGGGAACTCTGCATAACCAAGTGTCACTATTTCATTGAGGAGTCAGCAGTCTGCATCTAAGTTTGTGAGGTGGTCAGGGAATGAATGGAGTGTCAGCCATGTTAACAGTTGTGTGTCCTGGGACTTCCTGGAGGTTAAATGGCACTTGTGTCAAGGTGCCATAAGAGCGGCCATACTGGGTCAGAGCAATGGTCCATCTCGCCCAATATCCTGTCTTCCGACAGTGGCTTCAGAGGGAATGAACAGAATAGGGCAATGTGATCCATCCTTGTTATCCAGTCCTAGATTCTGGCAGTCAGAGGCTTAGGGACACCCAAGGCATGGGATTGCATCCCTGAGCATCCTGGCTAATAGTCATTGACAGACTTCTTCTCCATGAAATTGTCAAATTCTTTTTTGAACCAAGTTATGCTTTTGCCTTCACAACATCCCCTGGCAAGGCGTTTCATGGGTTGACTGTGTGTTATGTGAAGAAGTACTTCCTTTTGTTTGTTTTAAACTTGCCGCGTCTTAATTTTGGGGGGCTGGGGAAGTGCTCAGGCTACAGCAAATGCCCTGTTCTTTGTCACACTGCAGATCTTGGCTTTTCTGCTTGACTCACTATCTTTGTTGTACGGTGTTGGAATAGAAGTGTCTGACTGAAATACACCCAGCGTGGTAAATCTTGAGAAGAATAAATGTAGCCTGAAATACTCTAACCTTTGTTTGTAGGTCAGGCTGTTCCTGCAGGGTTACACGTGCGATTAAATCTTCAAACAGGGGAAAGAGAAGCCAGGCTTCCAGATAACAAAAATGAAAAAAGTGACATGAAAGACCAGAAGAAAAGGAAAAGGTACAGTAATATAAAGTACTTGCTGTTCTGCTATACAGAGGTATATGGGCTTTTGATTTCATTTCTTTTATTAGGAGACAGATTTTCAGAAGTGCTGAATATCCACAGGTCCCAGAGTCTTTAATTGGCATTTGGGGTGCTCAGTACTTCTGTACTACTCCTAGCTGCCCTACTTCCTTTTAGCCTGGGTGCTAAAACTGCCTTTACTGTGCTTTTGGAGAGACTTTCATACTTTGTAAAGCCATGATTCTGAAACTAAACTTGCAGTATGATTTCTTGGGAATGTCACTTGTTCTTTTGAAACTTTCTGTAGCAATGGGGTGCAAATTATTTTCTAGAAATTAATGCTTAGGGAGCTTAGATAGCTTAGGGAGGCTTTTTTCACAGAGGTTTGAGTCAGATACAACAAGGTCTTTACTTGCTGTTGTGCATTGGCTCTAAGCATTGGCTCTAAGCATTCATTTAAGTGTCAGTATTTGCTGACATACGCTCAAGATGTTACCAGCCTTCACTACATCTATTTTTTTAAAAATTGCCTAAAAAATACAACTCTCAACCATTTCCCTCCTTGTGCTCTCTTTACAAAGACAAGTTTTGTAACCATGGGGACTTCTATTTCTCAAAATACGTGAGTACTACCATTCTGTGCCCCCTCCCACCTCTATTTATGATCCAAGGCATGCAGAAGCTCATTGAGATGTCCCAGCCCTGGGTTTTCCTTTTGCCAGTGCAACAATGCTCACGTAGGATCAGGTTAGGATAACACAAAAAGAACAGCAGAGTTAGTTTCTTAGATTGTAGAGACTACGTGCTGCCTAATCCTTGTTTTGATATCATCATCATCATCAACATGTCAGCTTTGGAACTGAATGGACCCATCCCAAGACATACAAGTAAAAGATCCTTGTCAATATTCTGGGCACACCTGTGCTTTTTTTTTTTTGTTTATGAAATCTTTCCTGTTTTATACATCCCCAGATGATATATTGGGGAGATAAACTGAGCAGTTTTTATAGCATTAGGAATTGAGATCTTGTGTTGCCATGAGGATTTTCAAACCACAGCTTTATACTGTCAGGGTGGTGTCTTAAAGCCACACTCTTAAACTGAGCACGAGATCTGACCTTACTTTGGAGCATTGATTTTTCTGCATGTCCTGTGCCAGATAAATGGGAATTTAGTACTCAACTTTTTCTCCAGACAAAAGTTGATTGTTTTTTTTTTTAAGGATAAATTGTTTACCCATATAAAGTGGTTTCCCCCCCCCCCCTTTTTTTGTTTTTTTTTGTTTTTCTGCAAGGCTGGACGAGATGCATATCAACTCAAACTCATTTACATCACAGGAACTCAAAGAGGCTTTGGCTAAAATGAAGGAAAAAGAAAAGACAGAAAGCACAATGGAACAAAAGGTATTTCCTGTTTCTAAAGCACCCCATGAAAGGCTGGTGTAACACTGTATGAAGTATGCATTAGAAATAACATGGCTACAAGTGCTGGAAAATGTACTGTGGGGAACAATCTTATAGGGCAGTGGTTTTCAACCTGTGGTCCATGGACCCCTTGGGGTCCGCAGAGTATGCCTAAGATTTCCAAAGGGGTCTGCTGCTCCATTCAAAATTTTTTAGGGACTTGCAAATGGAAAAATGTTGAAAACCACCATTGTAGGGGGAACCAAACAGACCATTTCCTGCTTTGCCTATGATTATGAGGCAAATATAAATTTTCTGGGTAAAATCCTGATCCCATTGAAATCAATGGCATGTCAGGATTTCCTCAGCTATGTTGCTAAAGCTGGGATTTCTATATAAATTGAAAGCTTTTGTAAAGGTAATTCTAAGCCTTCTTGTTCTAAAAAGCCGTTTATTGCACAGCTGTAGTTAATATATTTATACATATAGTCAAGTATCGGGGGTAGCCGTGTTAGTCTCTATCCACAAAAACAACAAGGGGAGTCCGGTGGCACCTTAAAGACTAACTGATTTATTTGAGCATAAGCTTTCATGGTTAAAAACCCCACTTCTTGCATCTGAAGAAGTGGGGTTTTTAACCATGAAAGCTTATGCTCAAATAAATCAGTTAGTCTTTAAGGTGCCACCGGACTCCTTGTTGTTTTTATACATATAGTGTAACATATTTTGTTGATAATTGGTACATCATAAACTATAGCTGGAAAAGGTGCCACTAGTGGTAATCACAGTGTGGACACTAGTGCATTTCGGAAGTGGACTCAGGTTACTGGTTCAGTGACAGAACAGCCATCAGGTGGCCTTGTGGTCACTAACAACCGCAGTGGGATTTGAACCACAAGTGTGGAAGTTTGAATCTCCATGTAATCATCCCCTGGAACCCCCCAGGCCCCAGATCTAAATTTCTTACTGAGGCTCATGTCATACAAGTGATGCTAGAAGTGAAATGGCAGATCTCTTCGATGAACATGAAGTAGGTAACGTCAGTAAGACCTCTGGTGGGATGTTGATTTCCTGGCTTTTTTGATTGGGCATCATTATTAGATCTGAATGAGTAATATGAAGAGTAATATGTGAACATTTTTGTGAATACATCTTACCACTGTTTCTTGTGTGGTCACGTTGTTCATTGTTTTTGTAAATTTGGTTGATTGCTGGTTTGGTTAACAGCCTTCACTCAGAATCAGGAAGTAGAAAAAATTATGCTCTGACTCTAGGTAACCAATCACATGCCATGGGAAAGAAAAGCAAACAAGAATCTGTGAACTCCCCATAGCTGACTACATTTCAGCCTATTTGGTGAGCACTTCCAAATAAGCGCATTGGTAGCAATCAGATTTGGTTCTTGAATGATTTGCAAACAAAAAGTGGGCCAACTTCATTAGGTGGTTTATTAACCAGCTGTAATTATTATGTTTGGATCATTTAGCTCAGGAAGGTCAATTCCTGCTCATATTGAAGCCAACTGCAAAATCCCTATAATGGGAACAGAATAAGGCCCTGTGACAGAAGTCAGTTTCAAAAATGTCTTCACACAAAATAAATACAGTACACTTAAAAAGGCTAAAAAAAACCCCCTCTTTTTGAAAAGAGACCTGCTCATTCATTTCTCTGCCTGCCAGCATAACATAAAGTTTCAACCAAGGTTGTCAGCTGTTGGCTACTCAGTCACATAGAGGCCACAATTTAAAGTAAAACAAACTACATTTCTCCTCTGCCTTGGTGGGTTCTGTGCTTACTGGCAGATTTGCTCACCTCAGAGCTTCATGGCAGTCCTCAGTTTGGCTCCTTTTGTTAGTGGCACAAACCTGCTGTTCACTCGGCTAACCTCATCACTGGACAGCATGGGGAAAAGGAGAACAATCCCTGCAGCCTCTGCTGGCCCACCTCATGGGTCGGGGGACAGGCCAGAGACCTTCCCCTCTGGTGCGACCCACAGTCCAGATCAACTCCTCTTATATCAAATAGGGAGTTGGGGGGAACCCGGGCCTGCCCTCTATTCCGGGTTCCAGCCCAGGGACCTGTGGATTACAGCTGTCTGTAGTGTCTTCTGTAACAGCTGCGTGACAGCTACAACTCCTGGGGCTACTTCCCCATGGCCTCCTCCCAACATCTTCTTTGTTCTCACCACAGGACCTTCCTCCTGATGTCAGATAATGCTTGTACTTCTCAGTCCTCCAGCAGTACTCCTACTTACTCTAAACTTCTCGTGCACCTCTTGCTCCCACCTCCTCGCAAGCACCTCACTAACTGAAGTGAGGTCCTTTTTAAAACCTGGTGCCATGATTAGCCTGCCTGTCGTAATTGATTCTGGTAGCTTCTTGATTGGCTCCAGGTGTCCTAATTAGCCTGCCTTAATTGGTTCCAGCAACTTCCTTATTGTTCTGGAACAGCCCATTATCTTACTCAGGGAAAAGGGACCTGCTTAATCTGGGTCTAATATATCTACCTTCTGTCACTTCCTGGATCCTAATAGGATCTCTGGCCTGACCCTGTCACAGTATATAAGGCTCAGCAAATGGGATGTAGCTTTTTTCCCTTGAGCACCAGAGAGGATTCCTCTGGGTCCAAGCTTCACTCTTGTATGTGTCCAGTGCCTGAGTCGGATAGGAAAACTGAGGCAGGAGAAGTGAGCGAAGACTGTGATGCCCCTTCTTTGGGTCCCCCAAAACTCTATACTGCCATCACAGTCCCCATATATCACCAAGATGTTTAGCCTATCAGTTGATTAGAAATGTTATTCCTTCAGTCCAGTCAATGTGTTACAGTTGCTCTAGCAATATTCTTATCATCCTTTGGGCAAGACATCTCCGTTTTCAGAGAATTATTTATCTGTTAGCCAATATTACTGATAGAAGAATTCTTTTATGAATGCCATTTAAATGCAAAAATCAGTAATAACCCATTTTGTGAGAATGAGCCATGTGTGACACTCCCCAGAGGTACTCAGAGTTGTGAGGTACCTCACCACTGCCTGCCCTTAGCGTGAAGCAGTCTTGCGTGATGCCTGTTGTAGCTCAGCTTCCTGAAACCAACAGCCTCTGGACACAGACAAGCACTGACTTCTGGTCTCCAGAGACCTAACCCTCTCCTGTGCAGGGTAGTGACAGATGCACACTAATCCCCGAGCCCCTCTGCCAGCCTCCCTGTCATAAATATAAAGGGAAGGGGTAACCACCTTTCTGTATACAGTGCTATAAAATTCCTCCTGGCCAGAGGAAAAACCCTTTAACCTGTAAAGGGTTAAGAAGCTAAGATAACCTCGCTGGCACCTGACCAAAATGACCAATGAGGAGACAAGATACTTTCAAATCTGGAGGGGGGGGGAAACAAAGGGTTCGTCTGTCTGTGTGATGCTTTTGCCAGGAACAGATCAGGAATGCAGCCTTACTGTTAGTTAGTAAGTAATCTAGCTAGAAATGCGTTAAATTTCCTTTTGTTTAATGGCTGGTAAAATAAGCTGTGCTGGAGGGAATGTATATTCCTGTTTTTGTGTCTTTGTAATTTAAGGTTTTGCCTAGAGGGATTCTCTGTGTTTTGAATCTGATTACGCTGTAAGGTATTTACCATCCTGATTTTACAGAGGTGATTCTTTTACCTTTTCTTTAATTAAAATTCTTCTTTTAAAAACGTGATTGATTTTTCATTGTTCTTAAGATCCAAGGGTTTGGGTCTGTGTTCACGTGTACAAATTGGTGAGAATTCTTATCAAGCCTTCCCCAGGAAAGGGGGTCTAGGGCTTGGGGGGGATATTTTGGGGGAAGACATCTCCAAGTGGGCTCTTTCCCTGGTCTTTGTGTAAGACGCTTGGTGGTGGCAGCATTAGTTCAAGGACAAGGCAAAGTTTGTACCTTGGGGAAGTTTTTAACCTAAGCTGGTAAGAATAAGCTTAGGGGGTCTTTCATGCAGGTCCCCACATCTGTACCCTAGAGTTCAGAGTGCGGAAGGAACCTTGACAATCCCCATCTGTAATATCCAGCCCCTATTACTGAACGCTCACAGAAATAGCCTGGTAAGCTGTCTCCAAAGAGACAGCATACACACAGCTTGACTGGCACAACTCCAGATCAGGCCCTTTGTAACAACACAGCACTGGAATCTGCTTATAGTGAAATCAAATACATTTACAAAAATATTAAGATTTAAGAGAGAGAGCTAGGATAATAAGAACAGGTTTTTGTTCCAGTGACGTCCCTATAAGTGCATCACTGTAGGTGCGGCAGAGCCCCTTGTGCCTCGGATCGGAAATCTTCAGCAGCAGTGCCTGTCGGACCACACATGTGCACCTCCCCTTTGAGCTGTGAGTGACGTGTATATATACCACTGTGTAGTCCAACCGCTCCCCACTTCCATCTCTACAACCTTTGGTCTGGGACGAAATCTGCAGCAAAGCCCGCTTCTCCTTTTCCCTCAGTAGATAGTGCCTTACCTGTCAGTTTTTAGTGTACTTGGAGGAAAGGAGAAGTACTATCCAAAAAAATGTTTGTTAGTTTTAATTTTACTGTTACTTCATAGTTTAGGTTTTCATTTTCCTACTTCCAGATTGGGAAGCTTTTTCCCTCACCCTTATGCTGGATCTCCCATCTTTAAGTGGTGTGCCTCTTGCTGGAATGCTTTCCATGTAACGGATGGTCACCTGTAGTGTATTATTGTTTAGGAGAGGGACATTCCCACAAAATTGTTCCCACTGCCATGAATTGACTTCTAGAGCCAGAAAAGACTGGGACATTGAGTTATGAGTTCTCATGGAGAAATCACTGAGTCCATTATTAGACCTGGGCCTGGACTCTCCCCAGCAAATGGGATGCAGCCAGGTCATCTGCTGATCCAAATTTGCCGCATCCCTTTTAGAGAAAGTAGTCTTTCTTGCTCTGATGAGAAGGAACAGGCTTCCTCCTTACACTCTGAGCCACAGCCCATCAGAACACCATCCCCTGTGAGGT